ATTACCTCTTTTATGGGATCAGGTATTTAAAGGAAAGGGAACACAGATAACCTCCACTGCAAGTAAAGATACTGTCAAAAGGAAATACTTAGCTGAATGGTCAGGGTATAAGGTTTCCCTGGGGCCTTCTCCTCTCCAGGCTGAACAATCCCAGCTCTCTCCCCTTTCCTCCCAGCAGAGCTGCTCCATGCTCTGATCCTCTTGGTGCCTCCTCTGGACTCTCTGCAGCAGCTCCATGTGCTCCCTGTGCTGTTCCCAGGGCTGGAGCAGCTCTGCAGGGGGGTCTCCCCTGAGGGGCAGAGGGGCAGAATCCCCCCTGTCCTGCTGCCCACGCTGGGGGATCAGCCCAGGGCACGGGGGGTTCTGGGCTGGGTCATGTCCAGCCTCTCCCCACCAATCCCCAGGTCCTTCTCCCAGGGCTGCTCTCAGCCTGTCCCACTGTTAAACACAATAAACACCATAACAATGGTTACCACACCTTCCTATGTCAAATCTGCTCTTCCAAGAAAGCCACAAAGTTCTGGATAGGTAACCATTCAATGTTTTTTGACTTAGATTTCTCCATGACTTCAGGTGCTTTCCATTAATAAATCCAGCCCTCCTAACTGTGTGGGTGATAAATCTTCTCATGCTGGCAGAGGCTGCTGGCCTTTTTCCACTACTGTGCCAACCAATGTGGTTGGTTTTTCCCAGCAAGGAGCTAAAAAGCTTTTTTCTTTCTTTTTCTTGTTTTTTCCTGCCTAGCAATCAGTGGTGGGCCCTTCCAGAACCCATTTCGGCTGAAGCAGTTCCACTTTCACTGGGGCAGAACCCACAGCCAGGGCTCAGAGCACACGATTGATGGCAAACCTTTTCCCTGTGAGGTAACTGGGGGTTTTTACCGGGGTTATTTCACGTAAATGCTGCTGACAAATGACTGTGTGTGCAGTGGGGACAGGACCAGCATTCTGATTGCTTATTCCCTGTGGTCAGGGCAGCTCAGACTCTGAGCTGGTGTTACCCATAGACTGGAAATGGCTTCATATGGGGGCTCCTCAGAAAGTGCTGCAAAGCCAGGACAGGGCGTGAGGCTTTCCCAGAACAATCCAACCACACACCATGGGAATGCAGCATCCCAGAGCCTGGCAGTGAGTGCTGGAGCAAAGTGCTTTGGAGGATGGAGGCCTGTGCCAGGGAAGGCTTGATCTGTTGCAAATGAAAGCTGTGTGCTAGCTGACCCAGGCTGGATGTCAAAGCTGCTCCATCCCTTTTCTTCTCAGCTGTTTGGGGAGAGAAAATACAATGAAACATTTGTGGATCAGGATAAGGACAGGGATAGATCAGTCAGCAGGTACTGACACAGCAAAACAGGCTCAGCTGGGGCAAATCACCAATTTATTACCAATCAAATCAGAGTAGGACAATGAGAAATAAAAACTGAATCTTAAAACACCTTCTCCTCACCCCTCCCTTCTTCCTGGGCTTTCCTTTCCTCCCAACTCTCTCTGCCTCCTCCCCTGAGCAGTGCAGGGGATGTGGAATGGGGCCTGTGGGCAGTTCATCCCATCTTGTCTCTGCTGCTGCTTCCCCCTCAGTGGAGGATCCTCACACTCCTCCCCTGCCCCACTGGGGTCCCTCCCACGGGAGACAGCCAGTCCCTCGGGAACTGCTCCAGAGTGGATCCCTCCCGTGGGCTCAGTCCCTCGGGAACTGCTCCAGAGTGGATCCCTCCCGTGGGCTCAGTCCCTCGGGAACTGCTCCAGAGTGGATCCCTCCCGTGGGCTCAGTCCCTCGGGAACTGCTCCAGAGTGGATCCCTCCCGTGGGGTCAGCCCTTCAAGAACTTGTCATAGTTTAGAACTTGTTCTGAAAAACCAAGTGGGGAACTTTCTCTTTCCCCTGCATCATGGTGAAAGAGGGATGTTGAACGAGGGAAAGGGAGGGTGTTTTTTTTGGCTGGGATGACTGACACACACAACAGAAGTGGTGGCAGCCTTGCATTCCAGGCTGATGGCCCTCAGACCGTGAGGGAGAGAGTTAAGGTTTTTTCCCCCTCTCCTTGCATCGTGCCTCCCCTCTTGCCCTGACTCAGGGAGGGTGGTGTGTGTGCAGGTGTTCCGTGGTTCATTCTGGCCCCGGTTCGCTCCGTTCTGCCCCAGCCCGACCTGCTGGGGCTCGGCCCTTCTGCGGAGGAGCCTTTGGGGACGGGGCCGCCCCTTCCCTCCTCTGCTCCCGAGCCGGCTGCGGTTTGTGCCTGTCGGCGAAAAGGGGCAAATCCCGGACACAGCAGCTGCTGATAGCGAGAGTCTGGGGGAAGAATCCCTTTTCTCCCTTTTCTCCCCCTTTTTCTTGCTTCCCCCCGGCAATGGGGCCCAACAGCGCCCCCTGCTGGCCGAGGTTGGAATTGCGCTGAAAGGCAGAAAGTTTTTGTTTGGTGGGTTTTTTGTTTGGTTTTGTTTGGGTTTTTTTAAGGGAACTTTGGGTCCAGGATTGTTGTTTGGTTGTTTCTGTGCTCTTTCGTTGTTTTGCCGGTACATATCTATCCTTTAATAAAGGGCTGTTGTCTTTCCTTTCTCCACACTTCCTCAATTGGAGCCTCTTAATTTCGGATTTACAATTGCTTAGAGGGAGGGGCTTCCTCATAACTCATCCTCCTTAGCTTCAGTCTCACTGAGCTGAGACACAACTGCTCCAGTGGGGGTCCCTCCCAGGGGGTCAGGAACTGGGGGAGCTTCTGGCAAATTCTCCCCCAAGCCACCCCTATGGCTCCCCCACCACCAAACCTGGCCATGTCACCCCAGTATGGGCTGATATTTAGAAAACTTGTTTAGTCCTGTCCACACATTTAAGGGACCAGCCCAGAGGCTGAACTTGTTCGTGTTTCCAGCAATGCCTTTTGCACACAATTGTTGTGTTGT